TATTTTTTTTTTGTAGTTTGAAGGATTTAATTTGGATTTTTTTTTTAATTTTTTTTATGATTTTTGCTGCTCTGGGAGTTTTATTTCCATTCAGAAATTTCCAGCAGTGGGATGATGAATTTTTACAGGAATTTAATCTTTTTTTAATGAGGAGCTGAATTTAGTCATCCTTTTTTTCCTCAAGGTGTCCCTTTTTCCTATTAAAACCCAAAATTCGTCATTTTTACCCATTAAAAAAAATTAATATCCCCATAAAAATCCCACTTTGGGATTTATCCACCTTTCCAAAAAAAGTTTCTCCTCTTCCTGCTTTAAATTTGTGTCATTAAAAGGGCAGAAAAGGAGAAAAAATTCCAGAAAAAACAAATTTCTGCTCGTTCCCAAAGGGATTTTTTTGGGATTTTTTTAATAGATATTTTTGGGAATCTCCTCCACCCAAAATCGGTGGATTTTAACCAAAAATGGGATTTTTCCTTGCAGGAGAGGAGCAAAAATTAAATTTTAACCTTTAATCCTTAAAAATCCTCACCTGGAAGTCACCAGAAACTCTTTTTTAATTTGCTTAAAACCCAAAATTGCTGAATTTTAACCAAAAATGGGATTTTTTTCCTTGCAGGAGAGGTAAAATGTTAAATTTTACCATTTAATCCTTAAAAATACTCACCTGGAAGATGCCAGAAACTCTTTTTTAATTCACTTAAACCCCAAAACTGGTGAATTTTAACCCAAAATGGGATTTTTCTTTGCAGGAGAGGAGAAAAAGTTAAATTTTAACCTTTAATCCTTAAAAATCCTCATCTGTAAAACACCAGAAACTCTTTTTTCATTCACTTAAACCCCAAAATCGGTGGATTTTAACCAAAAATGGGATTTTTTTCATGCAAGAGAGGAGAAAAAGTTAAATTTTAACCTTTAATCCTTAAAAATACTCATCTGGAAGACACCAGAAACTCTTTTTTAATTCACTTTAACCCCAAAACTGGTGGATTTTAACCAAAAATGGGAATTTTTTCCTTGCAGGAGAGGAGAAAAAGTTAAATTTTAACCTTTAATCCTTAAAAATACTCACCTGGAAGACACCAGGAACTCTTTTTTCATTCACTTAAACCCCAAAATCGGTGGATTTTAACCAAAAATGGGATTTTTTTCCCTACAGGAGAGGAGAAAAAGTTAAATTTTAACCTTTAATCCTTAAAAATCCTCATCTGGAAGATGCCAGAAACTCTTTTTTCATTCACTTAAATCCCAAACTGGGTGGATTTTAACCAAAAATGAGATTTTTTCCATGCAGGAGAGGTAAAATGTTAAATTTTAACCTTTAATCCTTAAAAATACTCACCTGGAAGACACCAGAAACTCTTTTTTAATTCACTTAAAACCCAAAATTGGCTGGATTTTAACCCAAAAATGGGATTTTTTCCCTACAGGAGAGGAGCAAAAATTAAATTTTAACCTTTAATCCCTAAAAATCCTCATCTGGAAGACACCAGGAACTCTTTTTTAATTCACTTAAACCCCAAAACGGGTGGATTTTAACCCAAAAAATTTGATTTTTTCCCCTCAGGTACGCGGAGCGCAGCCGCAGCCGCTGCGTGGGGATGACCATCGAGACGCGGCCGGACCATTGCCAAAAAAACCCCAAAAAAAACCCCAAAAAAACCATAAAAAACACAAAAAACCCAAAATTTGTGGATTTTACCCCAAAAATTTCATTTTTTTTCCCCTCAGGTTCGCGGAGCGCAGCCGCAGCTGCTGCATGGGGATGACCATCGAGACGCGGCCGGACCATTGCCAAAAAAACCCCAAAAAAACCCCAAAAAAACCCCAAAAAACCCAAAAAACCCCAAAAAAACCCAAAAAAGCCATATTTTAACCCAAAAAAATTGATTTTTTTTCCCTCAGGTACGCGGAGCGCAGCCGCAGCCGCTGCGTGGGGATGACCATTGAGACGCGGCCGGACCATTGCCAAAAAAACCCCAAAAAAACCCCAAAAAAACCCCCAAAAAACCCCGAAAAAACCCCAAAAACCCCCAAAAAACCCAAAAAAGCCAGATTTTAACCCAAAAATTTCATTTTTTTCCCTCAGGTACGCGGAGCGCAGCCGCAGCCGCTGCGTGGGGATGACCATCGAGACCCGGCCGGACCATTGCCAAAAAACCCCAAAAAACCCCAAAAACCCCCAAAAAACCGTCAAAAAACCCAAAAAACCCAAAATGGGTGTATTTTAACCCAAAAATTTCATTTTTTCCCTCAGGTTCGCGGAGCGCAGCCGCAGCCGCTGCGTGGGGATGACCATCGAGACGCGGCTGGACCATTGCCAAAAAAACCCCAAAAAAACCCCAAAAAACCCCAAAAAACCCCAAAAAAACCCCAAAAATCCCAAAATTTGTGGATTTTACCCCAAAAATTTGATTTTTCCCTCAGGCACGCGGAGCGCAGCCGCAGCCGCTGCGTGGGGATGACCATCGAGACGCGGCCGGACCATTGCCAAAAAAACCCCAAAAAAACCAAAAAAAACCCCAAAAAAACCCCGAAAAAAACCAAAAAACCCAAAATTGGTGGATTTTACCCCAAAAATTTCATTTTTTTTCCCTCAGGGTCGCGGAGCGCAGCCGCAGCCGCTGCGTGGGGATGACCATCGAGACCCGGCCGGACCATTGCCAAAAAAACCCCAAAAAACCCCAAAAAAACCCCAAAAAACCCCAAAAAAAACCCAAAAAAACCCAAAATTTGTGGATTTTACCCCAAAAATTTCATTTTTTTTCCCTCAGGCACGCGGAGCGCAGCCGCAGCCGCTGCGTGGGGATGACCATCGAGACGCGGCCGGACCATTGCCAAAAAAACCCCCAAAAAACCCCAAAAAACCCCAAAAAACCCAAAAAAACCCCAAAAAACCCAAAATTTGTGGATTTTACCCCAAAAATTTCATTTTTTTTTTCCCTCAGGTACGCGGAGCGCAGCCGCAGCCGCTGCGTGGGGATGACCATCGAGACGCGGCCGGACCATTGCCCAAAAAACCCCAAAAAACCCCAAAAAACATCGAAAAAAAACCCAAAAAAAACCCAAAAAAACCCAAAATTTGTGGATTTTACCCCAAAAATTTCATTTTTTTTCCCTCAGGCACGCGGAGCGCAGCCACAGCCGCTGCGTGGGGATGACCATCGAGACGTGGCCGGACCATTGCCAAAAAAACCCCAAAAAGCCCAAAAAAACCACAAAAAAACCCAAAAAACCCAAAATTTGTGGATTTTACCCCAAAAATTTCATTTTTTTTCCCTCAGGTACGCGGAGCGCAGCCGCAGCCGCTGCGTGGGGATGACCATCGAGACGCGGCCGGACCATTGCCAAAAAAACCCCAAAAAATCCCAAAAAAACCCCAAAAAAACCCAAAAAACCCAAAAAAACCCAAAAAAGCCACATTTTAACCCAAAAATTTCTTTTTTTTTTCCCTCAGGCACGCGGAGCGCAGCCGCAGCCGCTGCGTGGGGATGACCATCGAGACGCGGCCGGACCATTGCCAAAAAAAACCCAAAAAAACCCCAAAAAAACCCCAAAAAACCCCAAAAACCCAAAAAAGCCAGATTTTACCCCAAAATTTTCATATTTTTTCCCTCAGGCACGCGGAGCGCAGCCGCAGCCGCTGCGTGGGGATGACCATCGAGACGCGGCCGGACCATTGCCAAAAAAACCCCAAAAAAAACCCAAAAAAACCCCAAAAACCCCCGAAAAACCCAAAAAAACCCCAAAAAAACCCAAAATTTGTGGATTTTACCCCAAAAATTTCATTTTTTTTCCCTCAGGCACGCGGAGCGCAGCCGCAGCCGCTGCGTGGGGATGACCATCGAGACGCGGCTGGACCATTGCCAAAAAAACCCCCAAAAAACCCAAAAATAATCCCAAAAAATCCCAAAAAAACGCAAAAAACCCAAAATGGGTGTATTTTAACCCAAAATTTTCATTTTTTTTCCCCCCAGGTACGCGGAGCGCAGCCGCAGCCGCTGCGTGGGGATGACCATCGAGACCCGGCCGGACCATTGCCAAAAAAACCCTAAAAAACCCCAAAAAAACCCAAAAAAACCCCAAAAAACCCAAAAAAACCCAAAATTTGTGGATTTTACCCCAAAAATTTGATTTTTTTTCCCTCAGGTACGCTGAGCGCAGCCGCAGCCGCTGCGTGGGGATGACCATCGAGACGCGGCCGGACCATTGCCAAAAAAACCCCAAAAAAACCTCAAAAAAAACCCAAAAAAACCTCCAAAAAACCCAAAAAAACCCAAAATTTGTGGATTTTAACCCAAAAATTTCATTTTTTTTTCCCTCAGGTACGCGGAGCGCAGCCGCAGCCGCTGCGTGGGGATGACCATCGAGACGCGGCCGGACCATTGCCAAAAAAACCCAAAAAAACCCCCAAAAAACCCCAAAAAACCCCAAAAACCCCCAAAAAACCCAAAAAAGCCAGATTTTAACCCAAAATTTTCATTTTTTTCCCTCAGGTACGCGGAGCGCAGCCGCAGCCGCTGCGTGGGGATGACCATCGAGACGCGGCCGGTCCATTGCCAAAAAACCCCAAAAAAACACCAAAAAAACCCCAAAAACCTCCAAAAAAACCCAAAAAACCCCAAAAAAGCCAGATTTTAACCCAAAAATTTGATTTTTTTCCCTCAGGTACGCGGAGCGCAGCCGCAGCCGCTGCGTGGGGATGACCATCGAGACGCGGCCGGACCATTGCCAAAAAAACCCCAAAAAAACCCAAAAAACCCCAAAAAACCCAAAAAAACCCCAAAAAAACCCAAAATTTGTGGATTTTACCCCAAAAATTTCATTTTTTTTCCCTCAGGTTTGCGGAGCGCAGCCGCAGCCGCTGCGTGGGGATGACCATCGAGACGCGGCCGGACCATTTCCAAAAAAACCCAAAAAGCCCCGAAAAAAACCCCAAAAAACCCCAGAAAAACCCCAAATTTGTGGATTTTACCCCAAAAATTTCATTTTTTTCCCCTCAGGGTCGCGGAGCGCAGCCGCAGCCGCTGCGTGGGGATGACCATCGAGACCCGGCCGGATTTCTGCCTGCGGCCGCACCTCAGCGCCATGCTGGGCTACGGCTGCACGCGCCTCGAGATCGGCGTGCAGAGCGTCTACGAGGACGTGGCCCGAGACACCAACAGGTCAGGACGGCATTCCCGGGAATTCCAAATGGTCAGGGACACCATTCCAGGGAATTCCGAGAGGGTTGGGACAGCGTTCCGGGTCAGGGACACCGTTCCAGGTCAGGGACACCATTCCAGGTCAGGGACACCATTCCAGGTCAGGGACACCATTCCAGGGAATTCCAGCAGGTCAGGGACACCATTCCAGGTCAGGGACACCATTCCAGGTCAGGGACACCATTCCATTCCAGGGACACCATTCCAGGTCAGGGACACCGTTCCAGGTCAGGGACACCATTCCAGGCCATGGACACCATTCCATTCCAGGGACACCATTCCAGGTCAGGGACACCATTCCAGGTCAGGGACACCATTCCAGGGAATTCCAGCAGACCACAGACAGCGACAGGTCAGGGACACCATTCCAGGGAATTCCAACTGATCAGGGACACCATTCCAGGTCAGGGACACCATTCCAGGTCAGGGACACCGTTCCAGGTCAGGGACACCGTTCCAGGTCAGGGACACCATTCCAGGTCAGGGACACCATTCCAGGTCAGGGACACCATTCCAGGTCAGGGACACCATTCCAGGCCAGGGACACCATTCCAGGTCAGGGACACCATTCCAGGTCAGGGACACCATTCCAGGTCAGGGACACCATTCCAGGTCAGGGACACCATTCCAGGCCAGGGACACCATTCCGGGAAATTCCAGCAGGTCAGGGACACCATCCAGGGAATTCCAACAGGTCAGGGACACCATTCCAGGTCAGGGACACCATCCAGGGAATTCCAATGGGTCAGGGACACCATTCCAGGCCAGGGACACCATTCCAGGGAATCCCAACAGGTCAGGGACACCATTCCAGGTCAGGGACACCATTCCAGGTCAGGGACACCGTTCCAGGTCAGGGACACCATTCCAGGGAAACCCAAGAGGTCATTCCAGGTCAGGGACACCATTCCAGGGAATTCCAGCAGGTCAGGGACCCCATTCCAGGTCAGGGACACCATTCCAGGGAATTCCAGCGGACCAGGGACAGCATCCCAGGTCAGGGACCCCATTCCTGCTTCTCCTGCTTCTTTTCCGGCTTCTTTTCCTGCTTTTCCTGCTTTTTTCCCTGCTTTTCCTGCTTCTTTTCCTTATTTTTCTGCTTCTTTTCCTGCTTCTTTTCCTGCTTCTTTTCACTCTTTTTTTTCCCTGCTTCTCCTGCTTTTCCTCCTTCTTTTCCTGTTTTTCTTGCTTCTTTTCTTGCTTCTTTCCCTGCTTTTCCTGCTTACTTTCCTTCTTTTTTTCCTGCTTCTCCTGCTTATTTTCCTCCTTTTCCTCCTGCTTTTCCTGCCCTTCCTGCTTATTTTCCTGCCTTTCCTCCTCCTTTTCCTGCTTATTTTCCTGCTTCTTTTCCTTCTTTTCCTGCTTTTTTCCCCTGGTTTTCCTGCTTTACCTACTTTTCCTGCTTTTTTTTTCCTTCTTCTTTTCCTTCTTTTCCTCCTTCTTTTCTGGCTTCTTTTCCTGCTTTTTTTCTGCTTTTTCTGCTTTTTCCCCCAGCTTTTCCTGCTCATTTTCCTCATTTTCCTCCTTCTTTTCCTGCTTCTTTTCCTACTTCTTTCCCCTCTTTTTTTCCCCCTGCTTCTCCTGCTTATTTTCCTGCCTTTCCTCCTCCTTTTCCCGCCTCTTTTCCCAGCTTTTCACACTTTTCTTGTTTTTCTTGCTTCTTTTCCTGCCTTTTCCTGCTTTTCCTGCTTCTTTTCTGGCTTCTTTTCCTGCTTTTTTTTCCTGCTTTTCCTGTTTTTCCTGCCTCTTTTCTTCCTTTCCCTGCTTACTTTCCTGCTTATTTTCCTGCTTTTCCTGCTTCTTTCCCTGCTTCATTTCGCTGGTTTTTTTTCCTGCTTCTCCTGCTGCTTTTCCTGCTTTTCCTTGCTTTTTTTCCTGCTTTTCCTGCTACATTTCCTGACTTTTCCTGCTTTTCCTGCTCCTTTTCTGGCTTCTTTTCCTGCTTCTTCTCCTTCTTTTCCTTTTTTTCCTGCTTCTTTTCCTGCTTCTCCTGCTTCTTTTCTTCCTTTCCTGCTTCTTTTCCTGCTTCTTTTCCTGCTTCTTTTTGCTCCTTTTTTTCCCTGCTTCTTCTCCTGCTGCTTTTCCTCCTTCTTTTCATGCTTTTCCTATTTTTCTTGCTTCTTTTCCTGCTTTTCCTGCATTTTCCTGCTACTTTTCCTGCTTTTCCTGCTTTTTTCCTGCTTTTCCTGCTTCTCTTCCTGCTTCTCCTGCTTATTTTCCTCCTTTCCCTCACGCTTTTCCTGCTTCTATTCCTGCTTACTTTCCTTCTTTTTTTTCTGCTTCTGCTTCTTTTCCTGCTTCTCCTGCTCATTTTCCCTCCTTTTCCTCCTCCTTCTTTTCCTGCTTATTTTCCTTCATTTTTTCCTGCTTCTCCTTATTTTCCTGCTTCTTTTCCTGCTTTTCCTGCTCATTTTCCTTCTTTTCCTCCTTTTCCTCCTGCTTCTTTTCCTTCTTTTCCTCCTTATTTTCCTGCTTCTTTCCCCTCTTTTTTTTTTTCACTGCTTCTCCTGCTTCTTTTCCTGCCTTTCCCGCCTCTCTTCCCGCTTCTTTTCCTTCTTTTTTTCCTGCTTCTCTTCCTTCTTTTCCTGCTTCTTTTCCTTCTTTTTTCCTGCTTCTTTTCCTTCTTTTCCTGCTTCTTTTCCTGCTTCTTTCCCCTCTTTTTTTCCCCTGCTTCTCCTGCTGCTTTTCCTGCTTTTCCTCCTTATTTTCCTTCTTTTCCTGTTTTTCTTGCTTCTTTTAATTCTTTTCCTCCTTACCTTCCTTCTTTTTTCCTGCTTCTGCTTCTTTTCCTGCTTCTCCTGCTTTTTTTCCTTTCCTTTCCTCCTGCTTTTCCTGCTTCTTTTCCTGCTTCTTTTCCTGCTTTTCCTACTTATTCTCCTCCTTTCCCTGCTTATTTTCCTGCTTCTTCTCCTTCTTTTCCTGCTTCTTTTCTGGCTTCTTTTCCTGCTTTTTTTCTGCTTTTTCTGCTTTTCCCCCAGCTTTTCCTGCTTATTTTCCTGCTTCTCCTGCTCATTTTCCTCTTTTTCCTGCTTATTTTCCTGCTTCTTTTCCTGCTTCTCCTGCTCTTTTTCCTCCTGTTTTTCCTGCTTCTTTTTGTGCTTCTTTTCGCTCTTTTTTCCCCCTGCTTCTCCTGCTGCTTTTCCTCCTTCTTTTCCTTCTTTTCCTGTTTTTCTTGCTTCTTTTCCTGCTTTTCCTGCTACTTTTCCTGCCTTTTCCTGCTTTACCTGCTTCTTTTCCTTCTTCTTTTCCTGCTTCTTTTCCTGCCTTTCCTACTTATTCTCCTCCATTCCCTGCTTATTTTCCTGCTTCTTTTCCTGCTTCTTTTCCCGCTTCTTTTCCTTCTTTTCATGCTTTTCCTGTTTTTCTTGCTTCTTTTTCTGGCTTTTCCTGCTGCTTTTCCTGCTTCTTTTCCGATTTTCCTGCTGCTTTTCCTACTTATTTTCCTTCTTTTCCTGCTTTTCCTGCTTTTCCTGCTTTTTTCCCTGCTTTTCCTTCTTCTTTTCCTGCTTTTCCTGCTCATTTTCCTGCTTATTCTGTTTTTTTTCCCAGCTTTTCCTGGTTCTTTTCCTGCTTCTTTTCCTGCTTCTCCTGCTCATTTTCCTCCTTTTCCTCCTGCTTTTCCTGCTTTTTTTCCTGTTTTTCTTGCTTCTTTTCCTGCTGCTTTTCCTGCTTCTTTTCCTTCTTTTTTCCTGCTTCTCCTTCTTTTCCTGCTCATTTTCTTCTTTTTTTCCTGCTTCTCCTTCTTTTCCTGCTCATTTTCCTCCTTTTCCTCTTTCTTTTCCTGCTTCTTTTCCTGCTTCTCCTGCTCATTTTCCTCCTTTTCCTCCTGCTTTTCCTGCTTCTTTTCTTCCTGCTTTTCCTCCTGCTTTTCCTGCTTATTTTCCTTCTTTCCCTGCTTCTTTCCCTGCTTCTTTTCCTTCTTTTCCTGCTTCTTTTCCCGCTTCTTTCCCTGCTTCATTTCGCTGTTTTTTTTTTCCTGCTTCTCCTGCTGCTTTTCCTGCTTTTCCTCCTTCTTTTCCTTCTTTTCCTGTTTTTCTTGCTTTTTTTCCTGTTTTTCCTGCTACTTTTCCTGACTTTTCCTGCTTTTCCTGCTTCTTCTCCTTCTTTTCCTTTTTTCCTGCTTCTTTTCCTGCTTCTCCTGCTTCTTTTCTTCCTTTCCTCCTCCTTTTCCTGCTTCTTTTCCTGCTTCTTTTCCTCCTCCTTTTCCTGCTTCTTTTCCTGCTTCTTTCCCCTCTTTTTTTTTTCACTGCTTCTGCTGATTTTCCTCCTTTTCCTTCTCCTTTTCCTACTTATTCTCCTCCTTTCCCTGCTTATTTTCCTGCTTCTTTTCCTTCTTTTTTTCCTACTTTTCCTTCTTTTTTTCCTGCTTCTTCTGCTCATTTTCCTCCTTTTCCTCCTTCTTTTCCTCCTCCTTTTCCTCCTTCTTTTCCCTCTTTTCCTGCTTTTCCTCCTCCTTTTCCTCCTTCTTTTCCTCCTTTTCCTCCTTCTTTTCCTCCTTTTCCCACCTCTTTTCCTTCTTCTTTTCCTGCTTTTCCTGCTTCTTTTCCTGCTTCTCCTGCCTCTTTTCCTCCTTTTCCTCCTCCTTCTTTTCCTTCTTTTCCTCCTTCTTTTCCTTCTTTTCCTTTTTCTTTTCCTGCTTCTTTTCGCTCCTTTTTTTCCCTCCTTCTCCTACTCCTTTTCCTCCTTTTTTTCCTCCTTTTCCTGCCTCTTTTCCCACCCATTTCCCACCCCTTTTCCCACTTTTCCCACTTTTCCCACTTTTCCCACCTTTCTTCCCCGGCAGGGGCCACACGGTGCGCGCGGTCAGCGAGTGTTTCCACCTGGCCAAGGACGCCGGCTTCAAGGTGGTGGCGCACATGATGCCCGACCTGCCCAACGTGGGGCTGGAGAGGGACATGGACCAATTCTTTGTGAGTATTTTTAATTAAAAAACCCAAAATTCCCATTTTTTACCACACCACCAAAAAATTCCCGCTCGGTTATCTCAAGTACAAACACTTTAAAACTCAATTTTTCTAAAAAAATTTCATTTTTTCTAAAAAAATTTCATTTTTTTCTAAAAAAATTTCATTTTTTTCTAAAAAAATTTCATTTTTTCTAAAAAAATTCATTTTTTCTAAAAAAATATCATTTTTTCTAAAAAAATTTCATTTTTTCTAAAAAAATATCATTTTTTCTAAAAAATTTCCATTTTTTCTAAAAAAATATCATTTTTTCGAAAAAAATTTCATTTTTTTCTAAAAAAAATTTCATTTTTTCTAAAAAAATTTCATTTTTTCTAAAAAAATTTCATTTTTTCTAAAAAAATTTCATTTTTTCTAAAAAAATTTCATTTTTTTCGAAAAAAATGAAATTTTTTCTAAAAAAAATTTCATTTTTTCTAAAAAAATTTCATTTTTTTCTAAAAAAATTTCATTTTTTTCTAAAAAAATATCATTTTTTCGAAAAAAATTTCATTTTTTCTAAAAAAATTTCATTTTTTTCTAAAAAAATTTCATTTTTTTCTAAAAAAATTTCATTTTTTTCTAAAAAAATTTCATTTTTTCTAAAAAAATTTCATTTTTTCTAAAAAAATATCATTTTTTCTAAAAAAAAATGATATTTATTGCATTATTTCAACCAAAAAATGATATTTCTGTCTCGTTTTAAGCCTGAATCCCTGTGGAAAAAACCATTTTTTCCATATTCCTCCTTTTTTCCAAGGTGGTTTTCCCTCTTGGATTTATGAATTCCAACTTGAAAAATGAAGGGAATTAATTGCAATTTAATTATAAAATTAGAATATGTGTTATTATAAAGCGTTTTGGTTCGTTTGATTTGTTTTGTCGATGTAGAAGGAAAAAAATCAAATTATTTTTCCTTGATGTAGAAGGAAAAAAATCAAATTATTTTTCCTTGATGTAGAAGTTAAAAAATCAAATTATTTTTTCCTTGATGTAGAAGGAAAAAAATCAAATTATTTTTCCTTGATGTAGAAGGAAAAAAATCAAATTATTTTTCCTTGATGTAGAAGGAAAAAAATCAAATTATTTTTCCTTGGTGTAGAAGTTAAAAAATCAAATTATTTTTCCTTGATCTAGAAGGAAAAAAATCAAATTATTTTTCCTTGATGTAGAAGTTAAAAAATCAAATTATTTTTCCTTGATGTAGAAGGAAAAAAATCAAATTATTTTTCCTTGATGTAGAAGGAAAAAAATCAAATTATTTTTCCTTGGTGTAGAAGGAAAAAAATCAAATTATTTTTCCTTGATGTAGAAGGAAAAAAATCAAATTATTTTTCCTTGATGTAGAAGGAAAAAAATCAAATTATTTTTCCTTGATGGAGAAGGAAAAAAATCAAATTATTTTTTCCTTGATGTAGAAGGAAAAAAAATCAAATTATTTTTCCTTGATGTAGAAGGAAAAAAATCAAATTATTTTTCCTTGATGTAGAAGGAAAAAAATGAAATTATCAGAGTAATGAAATATATCGATTAAAAATATGGGCAAAAAGCAAAAAAATGACATTTTTTGGAAAAATAAAAAAATGGAAAATGCAGCTGTGCAAGGCAGGAAGGGAATGCTGAAATTTGGGGTAGGAACTGGTTTTTTGAGGGGTTTTCTGCAGAATTCTTTGAGTTTTTGTTAAATAAAATATCTTGGTTTTATTTAGGGGGAGGGACTGGAAGGGGTGAGCAGAAAATTCCAAATTCCTGCTGCAGGAATTATTATTATTATTGTTACTATTATTGTTATTATTATTATTATTTATTTTATTTTATTTTATTTTATTATTATTGTTGGTATTGTTGTTGTTGTTGTTAATAATAATAATATTATTGTATAATATTATTTATATAATATAATATAATATTATATATTATATATAATTATATATAATATATATAATATTGAATACATAATATTTTATATTATATAATGTAATATACAATATTATTATAATATTATATAATATTGTATAATGTTATTAATAATAATAATATTGTTGTTAATAATAATCGTAATAATAATTAAATTATTATTATTATTATCATTATCATTATTATTATTATTATTTATTTTATTTTATTTTATTTTATTTTTATTGTTGGTATTGTTGTTGTTGTTGTTAATAATAATGATATTTTTATATAATATTATTTATATAATATAATATAATATAATATAATATAATATAATATAATATAATATAATATAATATAATATAATATAATATAATATAATATAATATAATATAATATAATATATTATATATAATATATATAATATTTAATACATAATATTTTATATCATATAATGTAATATACAATATTATTATAATATATAATATTGTATAATGTTATTAATAATAATAATTTTGTTGTTAATAATAATATTAATACTAATAAAATTAATACTAATAAAATTAATAATAAAATTAATAATAATAATAATAATGATAATGATAATGATGATAATAATAATAATAATAATAATAATAATAATAATAATAACAACAACGTTAATTATTCTGCTCCTGGCTGATTTTTTTTTAGCATTTTGTGGGAGGTAAAATTTTTTCTCTACCAGAGAGGGAAAAAAAAAAATAATTCCAGAATTTTCATGGAATTCTGTGGGATTGGGCTGGAATTTCGGGTGGAAAAACGGGAATAACCACCAAAAAAAAAAAAAATTAAAAATCCGAGGCGGAAAACAGAGGAGGGAGGAATTAATTCAATTTTTCGTAATTAATTTAATATTAATTATCTTTTGCTGCTTATTGGTGATGAGTGGTGCAGGAAATTCGGGAATTTCTTGGGAAAAGTTGAATTTTTGGCCATTAACGACAATTTTCTCAGGAATTGGAGGCGAAATTTTTGGAAGAATTAAAATAAAGGTGAGAAGGAAGAATTGAGGATAGAAAATGAACAAAAATTAAAAAAATTATCATAATTTCCCCTTTTTCACCCTTATTAAAAATCCATTTTTAAAACCATAATTTTAAATATAAAATAAAATAAATACAAAATAAAAAGAATAAAACGCCAAATTAATAAAATAAAACCCCAAATTTTTCCGTTTGTTTCCCGGATCCCTGATGAGCAGAACAGAAAATTCCAGGAAAATTCCTGGAATTCTTTAATTCCCAAGGATTCAGCCTCTTGTTTCCTGCCACAAAATTTTATATCCTCGTTTTGAGTGGAAAAAAATCAATTTTTGGGGTTTTTTTTGGGTTTTTTTTGGCTGGTGAATATTTCAACATTTCCAGCCCGGCTGGGAATTCCTTCCCAAATTTCTCCCAAATTTCCAGGGAATTCTCTCCGTTCCCAGCCTGGAATTGGGTCCATCCCCATCCCGACTCGTCTCCGGGAAGGAATTTTGGGATCCAGGAAGGAATTTTGGGATCCAGGAAGGAATTTTGGGAATTTTGGGATCCAGGAAGGAATTTTGGGATCCAGGAAGGAATTTCGGGATCCGGGATGGAATTTTGGGATCCAGGAAGGAATTTTGGGATCCAAGAAGGAATTTTGGGATCCAGGAAGGAATTTTGGGATCCAGGAAGGAATTTTGGGAATTTCGGGATCCAGGAGGGAATTTTGGGATCCAGGCAGGAATTTTAGGATCCAGGAAGGAATTTTGGGATGCAGGAAGGAATTTTGGGATCCAGGAAGGAATTTCGGGAATTTCGGGATCCAGGAAGGAATTTTGGGAATTTTGGGATCCAGGAAGGAATTTCGGGATCCAAGAAGGAATTTTGGGATCCAGGAAGGAATTTTGGGAATTTTGGGATCCAGGAAGGAATTTTGGATCCAGGAAGGAATTTTGGATCCAGGAAGGAATTTTGGGATCCAGGAAGGAATTTCAGGATCCAGGAAGGAATTTTGGGATCCAGGAAGGAATTTTGGGAATTTCGGGATCCAGGAAGGAATTTCGGGATCCAGGAAGGAATTTCGGGATCCAGGAAGGAATTTCAGGATCCAGGAAGGAATTTTGGATCCAGGAAGGAATTTCGGGATCCAGGAAGGAATTTTGGGATCCAGGAAGGAATTTCGGGATCCAGGAAGGAATTTCGGGATCCAGGAAGGAATTTCAGGATCCAGGAAGGAATTTTGGATCCAGGAAAGAATTTTGGGATCCAGGAAGGAATTTTGGGATCCAGGAAGGAATTTCGGGATCCAGGAAGGAATTTCGGGATCCAGGAAGGAATTTCGGGATCCAGGAAGGAATTTTGGGATCCAGGAAGGAATTTCGGGATCCAGGAAGGAATTTTGGGATCCAGGAAGGAATTTCGGGATCCAGGAAGGAATTTTGGGATCCAGGAAGGAATTTTGGGAATTTCGGGATCCAGGAAGGAATTTTGGGATCCAGGAAGGAATTTTGGGATCCAGGAAGGAATTTTGGGAATTTCGGGATCCAGGAAGGAATTTCGGGATCCAGGAAGGAATTTTGGGATCCAGGAAGGAATTTTGGGATCCAGGAAGGAATTTCGGGATCCAGGAAGGAATTTCGGGATCCAGGAAGGAATTTTGGGATCTGGCGGCTTCAGTGGGAATTTGGGATTCCAGGAAGGGTCTCCCCGGAATTTCCATCCCCAAATTCCATAAAAATCCCTCAGGATGGATCCTGAGTGTCCTGAATCCCAAAATCCCGGAATGGTTTGGGATGGGATCCATGGACCTCCAATCCCATCCCATTCCAATCCCAAATTCCATAAAAATTCCTGGGGATGGATCCTGAGCGTCCTGGATCCCAAAATCCCGGAATTCTTTGGGATGGGATCCCTGGAGATTCAATCCCATCCCATTCCAATCCCAAATTCCATAAAAATCCCTCGGGATGAATCCTGAGTGTCCCGAATCCCAAAATCCCGGATTTTCCAGGGAAAAATCTCCTGGGAGCGAACCTGTGGGATCCATCCCTATGGATTCCA